ATAGGTACACGATATAGCAATAATTTCCTGTTTGAATAACGCACGAAACCGTCTTTTTTTTAAGCGTAGGCCGGACTAACTCGTCTCTCGTTAATTTAAACATAACCTCTTTTGTAGCTCGATATATAGAGCCAGAGTCCTTTTCTCAAATTCTCATTCTGACTAGATTTACAATAAGTGCACGAATGCAGATGAATCAAATGCCGATCCTTGTCAATTGGACAGTCTTTTTGAGATTATATTAAATATACTTTTTTTAACAATAACAAAAATTATTGAATTTTTCAAACTCGATACGCGTTTGATACTAAATAATTAAATTTTATGATGTACCAATAAATAAATAATAAATTTAGTTTTTACAAAATCAATTGCTATAGACAAGGATATGGCACTTAAAACTTAACATGGAGAACATTATCGATTCATCGGTCAATACATCGATAGGATACTATGTATGTTCACTGGTCAGTAATTATTGCTATGCAAGCAAAAGCTGTAAAAAGATACGATCAGCTACATTTACATGCGAACGATCATTATTTCGCGTTAATGATCGAAAATATGACACTGCTTTCATAAAAGTGGCGTCATTCATAAGTATATATTTTTATAATAAATTAATTCTCCTTGTACTGATGATCTTCATCTCGTACATTGTTAATTTCTAACCTCGTATAACAAATATACGAGATGTGTCGTGGCTTTGTCCATATTTCGATTTTATAGTGCTGCAATTTGTACTTTGAATTCTGCACAAAATCAAAGCACATAAAGAGCAGCACATGATTTAGATTCTACCAATGAATTTTTTTTTAAATGAATCTAATATCTATGGAGGACATAAAAATGTACGAGTATGACACAACAATGATCACGACATTAAATAACGCGTTTTTAGTCGCACCAATAAGCCACTCGAATACAATCTGGGGCTGAATGTTTGTCATCAGTGGCTAATTGGGAAACAGTACGCTAAAATATTTTTTCTTTTTTTTTGTTTTGCTTTGTATTACTGCATGATTTCGTTGCAGTTGCTTTTTTTCAGTTTATAATGACTAAAACGTATTATCAACTAATTGTTATATTATCAATACTATTTACCAATTAAATTTTCTTTTTAACACTATTAACGATGATTGAAGTTTATACCAAAGATTATATCGGATCGATATGAGATCGTGATTTATTCACAATTTTATCTCGTAATTCATGATTTATAAGATTTTATTTTATTTTAAGAAAAATCTGAATAAAATCTTTGGTATACACTCAATGGCACGAAATGGTGGATTACGTGCAAATATTAGAGTATTTTTATTTTTCTCTTGTAATTTTTTAAAACTTGTTTTTCTTCTATTTGGAATTAATTTATTCTTATTAGCCATTAGGGCATAACTCAATTCAACATAATCTCCATTGGTTTTTTCTCACGCATTATAATGTTCTTATGGTGCGGATAAGGCTCGACTATTTCATCACTTAACACTAAAGAGCTTTCAGCTTTTTCTAATTTAAGTACATGAGTTCAAGCTTTTAAAGACACCTAACTAGAGACAACACGTACTTATGAAGATTTGTGGAAAGTGCATCGATATCGCTAGGTGGACTTTTTATAGTTCTCTTAATTCGCTTAGCGGTAACTTCACGCGTTTAACACGCATATATATTTCTTGTATATGTAAACTATACTTTTGTCAAAGTCTGTATTTTATTAAGACTCGACATATATAGCAATATCGGAGAATTTCATGCGATCATCGCTTTTGTCTATTCTCTGGTATTCTTTATAGCGAGACTTATTTTGTCCACTGGAATTTAGGCATATGTTAAAATAAGTTAAATTTATACGTGTAAATATACGTATGTATCATTTTATATTAACTTTGACAGAAACCACCTGTGGAATCTGTCGCGTCTGTGATAGTTTAAAATTCTATATTAAGTATGAAACTCCATGACCACCTGATCAGATCGTATCCTGCTCGATCTTCACCACGTGAGCATGATTATTATTATTATTATTAATATTATTATTATTAGTATTAGTATTAATGTTAGTATTATTTTGTTATATTTAAATCCTTCTATCGAAGAAGCGCTGCGAGATGCTCCTCTGAGTAAAGCTCGACGAAAAGTTTAGATCGTTCGAAGATGCAAAATCTCATTCAAACTGGAACATAGCTTCTCGATTTTCTATAGTTATTCTATATGATACTACATATGCATAGATTTTACACAGACTCGACATTTATAATTACACCTGCTGCTGGTGTTACTTAAAATTTAAGCCCAGCTTATGTTTCAGTCTTGATCACTAGTGATTTGATACACTACGCTAAGACCTAAAACTCGACTTATTTTTTAAGCAATAATCAGAATAATTCGATTATCGTGTTATTTCTTGTTATTTGTTGTAATAAAAAATATTTCTCGTAAATTATAATAAAAATTAAATCTGTAAGTACAAGTAAGCGCTAAAAAATGCGTAATAAGTGTCAAATCTTTATATATAATTAAGCAATTTTTAAATAAAAAAAAATTCTATATCTTGATGAAAATTTCAATAAAAGATTAATATATTATTATATTTTTTTTATATTGCAGACTTGTTTCTGTGCAAGTATTTTTTTCTTTAATAATATAAAATATTGCATTAAAACATATTCTTTAAACAATATTTTGAGAGGAAACGAAATATACGTTAAGTTATTAAAAAATTTTCATTGAATCAAATCTTTCATCAAGAATATTATTAATAGAAAAAATGATAGATCGCCCAGCGATCTTTATTATCATATCATGAAAATGACTTTCTTTTCTTTCTCATTTTTGTACTAATTTTCTTAACCAATAATTTATTTTTCTCTTTATTATTGTAAATTAAATTTTTTTTACGTTTCCTCTCGATCACATTCGTCCTTGTTTCAAATAAACAAAGAATATCAATTTTGCCAAATTGAGACTACACTTTTTTTGTTCTGATCAATTTCTTTGCAAAAACTGTTACTTTTTGGACATAAAATGGACTTTAGTTTCTAGCTGATTTCAATTTCTTGTCGATCTCCATCACTATTTTTATAGCTTGAATGTTGCTTTCGATGACTCGTAAAATCATCTCTCATAAGAATAAAATACAAAGGAGACCTCGAGCAGCTTCGAAATGCCGATGTTCAGCTTTGCTTTATTGCTCGTCAATTTTTCAAGCAAAAAGCATTTAAGATGATATTAACATTGATTCCTTTTCATTCACTTATTCTTACTTCTTACTGTGTTCCAAACCTAGCTGGATTGAAGTCTTTGTTGACGAAAGAGAAGCCTTGGAATTCTTCTTGATTTATATAGCTTAGTTCGTCCGGATCTTCTGGTGTCAACACTGGATCTTCTTTTGTAAATTCTGTATCGAAATTCATGACATCTTTTTTGCTTTTCTGAAAAGTTATATAATGATAAATGATTTCTAATTAAAAAATAAATGAATGAAATATATATATATATGTGTGTGTGAAGATATAATACAACTTACAGTTTTTGGTCTAATTGGCGGTTTCACTTTACGCGCTTCAAGTGCTTCCCAATCTATTTCTTGAAAAAATGGATGAATTTTTATAGCATTCTCACCACCATTAGCTGCAACACAACCTAATCTTTTAGCTGGATTCTTCGTCATAAATCCTTTTAGAATAGAAACAGCTTCTTTTGAAATCCAAATAGGATAAAGCACATCATCTCGTAAAATGGACTCAAATAAATCATCTTCATTATCAGCTTCAAAAGGTGGTTGACCAGCCATCATTTCGTACATTAAAACACCAAGTGCCCACCAATCAACACTTGCACCATATTGCAATTCTTGGAGAATTTCAGGTGCAATATAATCAGGAGTACCACAAAATGTTGTTGTGGTTGTTTTTCCTTCAATAATACCCTCTTTGCACATTCCAAAATCTGCTAATTTACAATGACCATCTTGATCGAGTATTATGTTGTCTAACTTAAGATCTCGATAAATAATATAATGCTTGTGAAGGAATTGTAATGCAAGTGTAACTTCTGCTGCATAGAAACGTGCTCTTGCTTCATCAAATTTCCGTGCTCTCTGAATATGAAACATCAAATCGCCTAAAAAAACAAAATTTTTTTTGTACTAAACAATAATTGATATTTAAAATTTTTTTATTATTTCAATTTTGAATTCTTACCTCCATTTACATATTCCATAACAAAAAATAATCGATCATTTGTTTGAAAACAACTATGAATAGCTGTAAGGAAAGGGTGTTTTGCTGCCAATGTTAAAATCCTTTTTTCTGTCATTGTACAATCTACATCGTCGTCTTGTATAATTACATCTTTTCTTAAAATTTTTACAGCATAAACTTCATCAGGATTAGTTTTTCGTTCCACTAACATCACTTTTCCGAAACTACCTTTACCAAGAACCTTGATGAAATTAAAATCTTCTATACCAAATTTTCTAACTTCATTCTCACTAACAGGTACAGCATTTTCAGTAGCAACAGGTGTTTCTTCAGTTTTTTGAATTGATTGTGAATTATCTGTTGGTAATGTGTCTGTAACTGTTACTGCGGTAGGTGTTTGACCAGACTGACAAGTTGTTATTCTATAATTAATCTTTGGAGTTTTTATTTGTTTATCTGGTGATATATTCATTGTACTCAAAATTTCAGCCATAGCTTTAGTATTAATACCACAATTATTTGCTACGTTTTTCTGGCATCTCTTGTGAACATTTATATTACAAGCTATGTAAGCAAATATCAGATTCAGGTATTAGTTGTATATCTATACATATATATATAAAATAAATTTGATTTATTTACCTTCGCACTGTAAACCTTGTCTAAATAAACCATACAAGAGTGAGCCACAATGGTCACAAAATGTAAATCTCTTGTAATTGTGAACAACAAAACGGTGTGGCATATCTATACTGAAACGTGGACTTTCTGTATCTTGACTTGACTGAAATTCAATATTATTAAATCAATCAATTTAATTTTTTAATGATAAATAAGTTCAATTACAAAAATATACTATAAATTACATTTACCTCATCTCTCATGCCTGGGCATTTTGTGATAACCAACTTGTGACATCTTTTGTGAACTACACATGTGCAGACTGAAACATAATAAAATCTAATTGAATGTTTATATTTTTTAGTACAGATGACTTTCAGCATAGCATGACCCAAGCTGGGATCATCTGTAAGCTGTCATCTGTAAGCTGCATGCGTGATTAGACGCACTGATTTGAAATGACAAGCATAAATAAAATTTGATGGATGTTGTGATAGTCTTGCCATAGGAACAGTATAAGCTTGAACATTGAAGACAGAATATAAATTCTAAGGATGCGATAAAATGAAACCATTAGAATCTCCTGATGATTTGTTACATTTTATTTAAAAACATGCAATGAAATATTTCCCCACTTATAACTATGTTAAATCAGAGCTAATATAATTTGCAAGAACTTGATTGATGTGTTATGAACACTATTTTATTTTCCAAATTTCATTAAAGAAAGCATAGCATCAGATATTGAGCCATGGGCCAAATTAAACATCACATTGAAAATTTGAAAATTTTCAAACTGAATCATGAATTTTTAATTATTCTAAATGATTTGATTTTTTATAAAGAACTAAGTACACATACACACACCTAGATAAACATATGTTCACACAAAGGTAGAGCAAGCAAATATATAATTATAATATTTGTTAATAACGTGTATGTGTCTTCTCACCTTGACACTGATAGCCCTGCTTGCCCAAGCCCCTGAAATACAACAGACAAAACACATCACATCATCTCCTTATATACCCTCATAAAACACATACGTATGCTTTCTTGGGCCTTAAACCATAATTAGACATTTATATTAATCTTTTAAAATTGATTAGAAAAAATATTAAATTTGTATTTCTGTCTTAGATGTTTTTAGTTTCTTAAAAATAATTTAATATTATATCATAAAATTTGTATTCACAAACAAAAATATCAATTCATAAGAAATTTTACCAAACAGTAGTTATAGTATATGCTTGCAAAACCAATGCATGCAACTTATTATTTAATTGAATGATTTATTTCAATAAAATATATAAGACATTAAATGATTGTTATTGTAAAAAGAAAAAGAATGGAATGTTTTAAAGCTTGAAAGTTAAAATATTTAGAATATTTGTTAAATCTCCATTTCCTTATTCCAAATATTATATATTGATATTTTTTAAACTAAATTCAAATTAAAAAAAAAAAGAATATTTTAAATAATATTTTAAGAAATATTTTTAAATGTTATATAGTGCTAGTATATTCTATAAAATCAAAAACCCAGACATGCAAATTTTAACACTTTTAAAATTATCCAAAATACTAAAATCCCATATTAATCTGGTGTGCATAAATTTATTAGATTTTAATGTAAATTACCTGAAATTAATATAAGTGAAATATATAAAATATACACACCAAATTAAATATATAACACTTCATATTATGAAATGATTATTAGTAAATGTTCTGAATTAGTGTTAGAGTATGCTTGTGAATTAAATTCTAAAAGCAATATTAATATATTTTTGTTAAAACACATACCATATGAATTCACGGCAGTGAGAACAGAAAGTTGGTTGCCTCAGGAATGTAGCCATAAATTTGTGACCATTTGCTTGATGAACCTTACGTCGCATGGCACCTCTTCGATGCCGAATGAAACCCTGCCTTTCTTTGAATTCCCTTCTGGGTTCTTTCCCAGATGTGATGCTTCCACCACCTCTGCCTCCGATTCCTTCTCCATCACCTGTACCACAGCCTGTTTGTTGATCTAAAATTTTATTATGAAAATATATCCTACATATAATATTTTTAAGTATTACCTGTGCCTTACCTTGATTATTCCATATTAAATCAATCTTGACTCTTAACTTTCCTTGAGGTTCAAGGTCAACCTAAAATAAATTTTATATGATAATTTATGATAATTAAGCTTATTATTGAGCAACAAAAAAATGTTCATATTAATAGTATGCTATTCATATTATATTATTAATTCAAATCTCATTTTATATAATATTATTATATAAATATATATATTATATAAATATATATAATAAATAAAATGTTTTTAATTAAACTTTAATAAATTATATTTTTTCAATGATACTAAAGTTAAAATCAGTTAAATATATTACATTTTTATATCCTGTACACATTTGCAACATTTTGAAGAAACTAAATGTTGAATATTAG